CAAAGCACCTGAGCCAGATGGTTTCACTATAACTTTTATCAAGACTGTTGGGATGTAGTAAAAGAAGACCTTCTTGAGGTGTTTAAGGAATTTGCAAACAATAATAAAGTAAGCACTGGAGTTAATGCTACCTTCGTAGCCCTAATCCCAAATAAGAAAGATGCAAAAAACCCTAAGGATTTTAGGTCAATTAGATTGGTGACTAGCATTAACAAAATCCTGGCTAAAGTGTCATCTTTGAATATTAGGGTAGTATTGCCCTCCATCATTAGTCAAGCTCAAGGAGCCTTCATGTAGGGGAGACAAATAACGGATCAGATCCTAATAACAAATGAGTGTGTCGAGGACATGAGAAAGTCGGGAAATCAAGGTTTTGTTTGTAAGCTGGACTTAGAAAAGGCCTATGATTTTGTGGACTAGAGCTTTTTACTAGAGGTCCTTGGTGCAGGTTTGGAGGTAGATGATGCAATTTGTCTTCAAAAATTCTTCTATTCCTCTCCTTCCATAAATTCCAGCATATTGCAAAAGGAATGCAGCTCCAAAACACCTTAGCCTTCTTGGATCCTCTTAACTTTGGCCAGGCAGAAAAGATTTCGGCAGCAGAATTTGGATGAAAGTCAGATATCCCAAACATTTTAGCGAATAGTTTCCATAGGAAATCAGCAAACTTGCAGCTGATAAACAGATGTCTGACATTCTCTTCTTGTTCCTCACAAAGACAACACCTATTCGCCATGCAGAAGCCTCTTGATTTTAGATGATCCACCGTTAGAATACTGTCCATCGCCAGTAACCATGCAAATGCTTCTACCCTTGGGGGAACCAGATTTCCTCATACTCCTTCTGACTGGATTAGTTTTGAATTGTGTCTGCACAGTGCTAGATAACAAGACTTCACTGAAAATTTACCTTTTGAACACTCCTTCCACCAGAGTTCATCCCTCCTTTGAGGAGCAATCTTCACCTCCTCTAGCTTTCCTAACAGAATTAAACACTCCTCTACCTCTCTATCCAGCAAAGGCTGCCTGAATTTGGACTCCATATCAGCTGATCTCCTCTTCTTTCATAGTAGCTACTGATAGTAGTTTCAGCCACAGCCAGCTTATACAATCTTGGGCACAACTCCATCAACTTACCAGCCCCACTCCAATCATCCTCCCAAAACCTGATTCTTGAACCACCTCCCACTGAGAAACTTGTTAGACTTCTGAATTCCCTATTAAAACTCGTAATCCCCTTCCAAACATTCACCCCATAAGATGACCTAACATCTCTAGGTTCCCAACCAAACCTCACCACCCCCTATTTCCCCAACACCACCCTCTTCCACAAAGAATCTTCCTCTCTCCCTAACCCAAACCTCCATAACCATTTTCCCAGCAGAGCCCCATTGAACACTCTCAGCCTTCTAATTCCTAGCCCTCCTTCATTCTTTGGTCTGCAAACCTTCTCCCACCACACCAAATGGAATCCCCCCCCCTTCCCATCCCCTCTCATAGGAAATCTCTTTGCACTTTCTCTATTCTTTCAGCCACCTGAGATGGGATTTTCAGCAAGGACAAGTAATATGTTGGAGTAATAGAGAAGACACTTTTAATTAAAGTTATCCTCTCACCCAATGAAAGATGCTTTGACTTCCAACCGTCCAGCCTCCTTTCAATTCTCTCCACTATTGGTCTCCATAATACACCAGAATTTGAAACCCCTCCTATTGGCATGCCCAAATAAGTGCACAGAAGCTTTCCAATTCTGCATTCAAGAGCATTATCACAGTCAAACAACACTTCCTCCTCAATTGCACCCACTCCAATCACCACACTCTTTGCTAGATTAACCATTAGACCTGATAACAGCTCAAAGTTTGCCAAAACTGCCCTTAGATTTAACACTTGATCCATCAAAGTATCCAGGAAGATCAAAGTGTCATCTGCATACTGTAAATGATAAATGCAGGGGCCATCCCTTCCTACCTTGAAACCCTCGATTAAACCCCTTTGCCCACCACTCCACAGCAGTAGATTCAGAAATCTCCATAGCTAAAACAAAAAGCATTGGGGAAATTGGATTTCCCTGCCTCAATCCTCTTGAGGCTTGAAAGAACTCCGAGGAGATGCCATTTAGAAGTATTGAAAATGAAACTGTGGGCGTGCATGCAAACATCCAAGACCTCCATCTTTCTCCAAAACCCATTAACCTTTGGAGTTTGGTTCCTCCAGAAAACCCCATTCAACATGATCGTACACTTTCTCAATGTCAATCTTACATACTAAGCCCGGTCTCCCACTTCTTAATCTTGCATCAATACATTATTCTTCAAAAATAAAAAATAAAAAAAAAAATCTTGCATCAATACATTCACTTGCCATCAAAACTCCATCTAATATCTGTCTCCCTTCCACAAACGCCACTTGAGACTCCCCTACAACCTCATGTAGAACTTTTCTCAGTCTTTTTGATAAAACTTTAGCCAACAGCTTATATGGGCTGCTGATTAGACTTATTGGTCTAAAATCCTTCAGATTTACTGCTCCTTCCTTCTTTGGAATTAGAGAAATGAATGTAGCATTTGCTGATTTCTCCATAACTCTCTCTCTCTCTCTATGAAATTCCTACATCATCAGATTAAAGTCTCTTTCTAAAATGCTCCAGCAAGACTTTATGAAAGTAAAGTTAAAGCCATCTAGCCCCGGGGCTTTGTCCCCATTTATGTCATTTAAGGCCTCTTTGATTTCCTCCAGACTGAATTCATTTTCAATCCAGGAAGCTGAGGTTTCACTCAGCATTTTAGGAACCAGCTCCCCTAACAACATCCAATTCCATACTCTTTAAGTGTACAAAGCCTCCCTAGCAAACCTATTGATTTATTACTTCTTTGTCTTTAGGATTCCTGTTAGGGAGGCTACAAAGTTGGGGAGACTAATGAGAAACTTTCTTTGGGGGCTAGAGGAGGAAAGAAAGGATCATCTAATAAATTGGGAAATAGTTTGTAGGAGTAAAGAGGAGGGTGGGCTGGGTTTAGGGAAGTTAGTTCTAAAGAATAAAGCTCTCTTAGGAAAATGGCTGTGGAGGTGGCCCATAAAAAGGGAGAGGTTGTGGCATGAGGTGATAGCTAGTATACATGGCAGATTGGGAAATGGATGGGATATTGGTGTATTGCGTCGAGCTACGTCGGCAACTCCTTGGGAAGTAATTCAAAGTATCCTCCCTCAATTCCTCAATTTTGTCAGGTATGATGTCAGCTTTAGTAACTTTGTTTTGTTTTGGGAAGACATTTGGGTGGGCAGCTCTGCTCTTAAGGATCTTTTTCCATCTCTTTATTCCCTTTCCCTCTACAAGGAAAAGGTTGTCTCTCACTTTCTTCCAACACCTGTTTCACCTTCCTCCTTCAATTGGGACTTTGGGTTTCGTAGGGACTTGAGGGATCATGAACTCATTTGTGTTTCAGATCTTCTACCACTACTTGGAAGTGTTTTTTTGGACCCTCTCAGATTAGATGTAAGATTATGGTCCCCTCATCCAAAATGTTACTTCACATGTGCCTCCTTTTTTAAGTCCCTTTGCTACTCCCTAAGACAGTTAGTTGGGTTTTCCGGCTAAGGAGATCTGGTCTAGACCTGTTCCACCTAAAATTATTATTTTCTGCTGGGAGGTGTTCTATAGAAAGATCAATACCTTAGACTGCTTGCAGAAGAAAAGGCCTTTCATGTGCTTGTCCCCTAACTGGTGTGTACTTTGTAGGGCTAGTGGTGATGATTGCTCCCACTTACTTTTATCCTGTTCTTTTCCTACTACTATTTGAGGTTGGATCTTTGCTTTGTTTCGATGCAAGTGGAATCTGATCGCAGTTGTAGGTCAGCTATTTGACCCTTCCTTCTTTGTGTGGCCCACAAAAAAAGGTAGAACAATGTGGAGATGTACAAGAGTTGCTACTTTGTAGACAATTTGGGAAGAAAGAAATGTGAGGCTATTCCAATAGAAGGAAAAAAAAAGCATTTAGGCTGTAAAGGAATGCATTTTGACTAGGGAAAACCACTGGTTGAGAACTCTGGACTCCTTTCACACCTTTTCTTTTGACGATATTTGGAGGAACTGGATAGTTGTAGCTAACAGTCATACTAGGAAGGGCAGGATGCCAGCAGTGTGGGTGCCTCCTTCTGAATGTTGAGTAAAATTGAATTTTGATCGTAGCAGCCAAGCCAACCCAGGTCCTTCAGGGATAAGAGGGGTGCTGAGAGATAAAGACAGCAACATTTAAGCCTTGTTCTCAGGCCCCATGGGTATAAGAGAGTCTAATAGAACTGAGTTTTTAGCAGCTGTACAAGGTATTCATATTGCAGACCAACTAGGAGTACAGAATACTGTAGCTGAAGGAGACTCCAAAGTTGTTGTGGGATGGCTTACAAATCCAAGCTCAATTATATGGTGCAAGAACAGCAATGGGTGGGCAGAACAGCAAATACCTTAACAGATGGGTTAGCTAAGCAAGGGGCCTCAAGGAAACAATTATTTTGGCCAGCTCTGTAACCTTTTGTTCTTTTCTTTTTCTTTTCTGTTTTTTTTTTTTTGATAAATGAGTCTGTAACCTTTTGTTTTAGTCTGATGTATTTGTTTTTTAGGAGAGGTAGCAACTCATGCCCCTCCATGGGTAGCTTGTAATGACTTAACCTCTTGATCTTTCTTTAATAAAATCTTATTCATTCATCAAAAAAAAATGCTAACAAGGAACAAGAAATTCTTATTAAGCATGCACAAATTTCAAATATCCTTTTTAGTTGAAAGGCTGCTTCATTACAAGAAACCGTATGCTGTCTATATTATACAGATAGGGCAAGGGCATAGCTGGATATGGTATCAGGTAGGAAATTTACACTAAAAATTGAAGTACCTGACATGATATGGCACCCCTGTACAGGTATCCATGTATTGTAATGTGTTATTAAGAAGAAAATGGGGAGAGGAAGAAGTGGAGAGAGAGAGAGAGAGAGAAAAAAAACATATACCTCTCAATGTTAAAATCCTCGTCGTCATCTTCTTGACCACCTGATGCATCTGAAGATACTGTATCCAACTCTGCATCAAGAAGTGCTGCAAAATCATCACTACTTGAGGATTGCAGTGGAGAATCTGCAGCCAAGCTCATGCCTGCCGTATTAGCAACCAGCCTGCCTAATTAACTTAACCTCATGGCTCCTTTGTGGTGCATTTGGATCTAGTAATGAAAATGCAATTGCTCACATTAATTTCCACTGAAAACTGTATTGAATTTCATAAATTTGGCAATTATGCTGTCCAAATGCAGTTCTTAGACTATTTGGAATTGGATACCCTTATTTCATTTTCACAATTTCAAATCATAGATGTGCAAATGAAACTCAACAGTACCAAGAATAATAGAATATGGAAAGCAATAAAGGAATCCACAAAACTGTTATTGCATTTTTGCATGAAATCTATTTGTTAAATTTCTCTTCAATGATCATGTTTATATCATATGATTCAGTTTTCTCTTCTTTAGTTTTTGTTTATTCAAGTCATATAATCATATCATACTATTTTCTGTCAAGGCATTACAAATTTTTAAACAGGAGAGGAACATAACCTAGTAATTCATTTTCTTCATCCATTGTGTCACTAAAATATGTTTGTACATCTAGTGACGCTCAACAGCATCAACATTAAGAATTTCATCAGACAGGCATGCTAGAAAATAAGACCATGACTGGCTCTGAGCTCTGGGTAGATCATTTCTACCACTTCTTTGTGAGCTTCTACTGAGGTCTGAATTGCTAATAATTCTGTATGGTATTATATGGGCTTGGGAGAGAAGGAAAGAATGACAATTCGTTGTACACAATACAGCTAGTTGCTCAAGTTTGCCATTTTCACTTCTTGTGTCAAGCAGAAGACTCTAAATTCCATTAGGAAACCAGCAGGAAATTTTCATCATCTTTGGAATTTATTTGGTATTTGGTAATATTCTGATCAATCAATCTGAAGAATTCACTACAACTAGATTGAGCAAAACATCAAAGGCAGACCACTCTGGAGATTAATCAGATATGATCCTTCACTTATTTTTTTCATAATATTTTTGTCTCAAGACAATTTCAGTATCTCCTTAGTAGAAACACGTTTTTCTACATTTGATATGAGATTTCTTTTCCAAAATTAAGCTTAAAGGAATCAGTGCAAAAGAATGGAAGGAAAAACCAGTGGGCAGTGGGACTCGATGTGCTTGGGTGGCAAACTCTGATTCAAGCCACATAATAGAATGAGAAGTTGAGAACTATAGCTCAATCTACCTCTCCAACCTGCTACTTTTGATGCAATTTTCTACCCATTACAATTACTTTCATGATGAATCGACAAGCTATGTAACATCAACATCCTGCCGCATGTAAAACAGAACGCCTGTGGTTGAATGGCTCTCTTCTACTTCCATTGACGAAGGCGGAGAGAGAGAGAGAGAGAGGGAGAGAGAGAGAGAGGCAGAAAAACAAATTGAGCTCCCATCCTATCTTTGTGAAGTTGGAGCGGATCTTAAGAGAAAATCTCAGATAGAGAAGCAAAAAAAAAAAATGGAAAACATAAAAAGGCAACGGACGGAGGGAAGGGGAGAGCTCACCGTAGCCGGAGATGAACGCCGGAATGGAGGCGGGAAGCTCAGACCCGTTGTTGCTCGGAGAGATTGGGGCACGTTTCCGTCGAGAGCCCTCACAATTTTCGTTTCTTCTCTCTCTGCGGTGATGATTTGTCTGCTGCAGATTGCGACGAGATGCTTCTTCAAACCCTACAACCGTTCGATTAGAATTTTTAGTTGGAAAGATTGATCGAACAAATCGTTAAACAGTTAGGACTATCATAATTCCAATCCAGCGGTTGTTATAAGCAAACAACACTATTATAAGCAACGTACAAGCACAACGGTTCGAGTCTGCTTGGAACGTGCAATTTTGAAGAAATTATAGCAAACAACATCATGTGCAACTTCGCCAAGACAGCGCCCTACAGATAAAGTGGGACCCATTAAATACAACCCAATATTGTCATTTTAGCTGAATACTAGTGGGGTGCACGTGCGTTGCATGTGTATGTTTATGTTGCCAAAATTAAGGGTGTTTAGGATCCGGTTCGGTGCGATTTGGAGAAAATATCACATCAAACCGGTAAGAAATTTTTAAATTGAATCAAACCGTTTTAAACCGTTTTAGTATAGAAACTAAACCGTTTTATTACAATTTGGTGCGATTTTTAATACGATTTGAGGACTTTGGACCATTCTATGTTCTTTTGGGCTTAACCTAATTAGAAAGCCCAAATAGCTCCCCTAAAATTAAAACTTGAAACTTTTACTTATAATTTTATTATAAAATAAAGCATTCATTATATATTTATAATTTTACGGATTCTATTTAGATATATTATATATAATATTTATATATCATATATTCATATTATATATATAATTTCAGTTTGTGGTTTGGCTCAGTTTATTTAATAAACCAAACCAAAACTATAAATCGTAATTTAGAAAATTCTCAAACCGAACCAAATCGTTTATAGGTATAAACTAAACTAAACCAACTTATGTGATTTGAACCGTATAATGAACACCCCTAGCTAGTCAAAATAACATATTTGAATTGAAGTGATTAAAAAAATAATTGATTTTCTAGTACCAAAAAAATACTATAGAAAAGCAACCCAACAACGATAATAATGACTAAATTCACTATGAATTTATAATCCAACTTTAGTGTTATAATCATTATTTGAACAATAATCAATCAAAGCTACTAAGCTAGCAAGTGAACATAACGCAAACGACTCAGCAGCACCACCTTGAAAAAATAACACAAATAAAAAATGTAAGTTCAAATATCTTCATTCATTCTCTAATTTAAACTCCTCTTCATTACAAAAAAAAAAAAAAAAAATTAAACTCCTATTCTTGTTTTCTTGTTTTCTTGTTTTCTTGTTTGATCTATGAATTTAATAACGGTATTCCTTCCATCCAAAAGCAGTCCTTATAGACTGGCCCAAAACAACCATGTCAAAACAAAAATAGTAGTCTTCCCAAAGTTGTTTAAAAGTAAAGAGTAGAACCACTATCTCAGTTGCAAGTTATAGGGTTATATAATCACATTTCTCTTCATATAAACTGCTATACACCCAAAACAAATTAACAAAAAAAAAATAAGCACAAAAGGGAAACCAAAAGAGAGTACAAGTTAAATCAATTTAAAATTTTAAACAAAATAAGAAATAATAAACTAACTACTTTGTTGAGTGAACTCTTATTTTGGATTCTAAATTGATTGTGTATCCAAAGAAAATGAACTAGCATTCGAATGCTATAACATACTACACCCCTATTTAGGTTCAAATTTGGAGGATTTTTATAAATATGATTACATTTTTATTAAAAATGGGGAGATACATCCATTCAGTTTATCAATTAAGTTTATCCTTGAAGGAGAAATTTTGAATTTGTCATGATGTTTTGATTCCATTTAATATCATGAAAACAATCTAGAGTAATGTGAGGGTTGTTCAGTCACATTCATATTTGATAAAAATTTAACCAACATCATGACTACCTTAATAGGGTAACCATTACGTGGAGAATTTGGATGTCCACGTATTCATCTTTTTAGGGCACTTGTCTCTTTTGTATATAAGGGTAAATAGAAACCTGTGAATTTGCTAGATTGACTATCAACCCATTCAAAGTTGTATTATTAATAGGGGTAGATTTGTAAATAAAAATCAGGGTGTTCTACCAAGAGAATTGATCATTTTCGCATTTTTAAATTTTTATTTTAAATAATGGGGTATATGTTAGTTTGGCTGTTTTGTATTATTAATACGAATAAATTTGGAAATAAAAATCAGGGTGTTCAATGAAGAGTCATTGATCATTCTCATTTTTAATAATGGTAATAGGTAATAGAAATAAGTCAAGGAATGATTAATGGTCAGGCCCGGCCGGCCCGCAATTTGTGGATGATAATATATATCTCTAGGTCTGGGTCAAGCATCCATCCATATAAATTAATAAAATTATATTTTAGAAAAATGAATTCATATAATTTTACATTTAAAATTACAAAATATATATAAACTTATTATACATATATAAATATATAATTATTATGCAATATTAATATAATATGTATTATTTATATTAAACTTTCAGGCCAGGCAAGACTGGGCAAAAATTATCGACCGTAAATAAACCCAAAGTTTGTCAAAAACTTGAAAATTTAGGCATTTGATAATTTATTTTGGTAATATCAACAAGTGAAATTCAAGAAATGTTTTCCCAAATATTTGAAAAATAAAATCCATTTATGACTAGGACATGAAATTTTCAAAGCATCAGTAACCGTTTAGGATGAAGCCTGTCTACTTGTGGGTCTCATTCAAATGGTCTATGAGTATGGTGAAAAATCCCGAGAGCCAAATCAATTGTCAATCAGCTAAAAGGCTATTCGCTTCAACCTCTTTGAGTGCCTATTTGAGAGGTTTGAGCTCAACATTCAACTGCTTTTGAGCAATGTTCAAAGTGTCAGAAACACTAAGTRTGTGTTTGGTTCCGTTTATGTTTATTGAATAAACGTTTGTACTTAATTTGCTGGTAAAACCGAGAAATGCAATAATTACAGGTTATTTATGACAACTGGGCGCCACTAGGCTCTACACCAATGTAACAGTGAAAAAACGCATGACCATTTGTGGAAGCTTTAAAAAATAACTTCCACAAACGGCTGGCATGCACAAAAACCAAAGTTGACATTTTTCATTTTCGATGCATGCAAAAGAGCAAGAGAGAGAAAATGCTGAAGTGATGCCTATGTGGCACCATCAATAAACGTTTATTGAACAAATGTAAACGGAACCAAACACCCTCTAAGTGTATTGAAAAGGCAATTTTAAGAGACGTATTGGGATACGCTTTGGATATGCATGTGTATTGGAGAAAACTTAAGATACGCATTGATAGGCATGGAAACATTATAAGTACTTTAATAAATTATAAAAATACATTAATCATACTAAATATAAGGCTTTAATGATATATTAAATTAATACATTTTAATGATTTTATAAAGAAATACATTGTAGTTAATTATAATTTCCTTAAAAAACCCAACTATCCTATCCAACCATAAAACATGCATTGGCACAACATTTGAGTGTAAATATAATTAATAACTTTTTTTATTTAAATAACTATACTTTATTTTTATTTTCAAAAATTACAAAAAATAAGAAAACATTGTACGATATATTCAAATAAAAATATTGAAGAAGAAATTTTAATTGCTCAATGGATATGATAGATCACCTATAGATCAATAATATATTCAATGATTGTGATTAGACCATAAAATATAACTAATTATTATTTATTTTTTAACTCTAAAATATAAAAAAATTAAAGTAGAATTTTCAATTGCTTTATTGATATGATAGATAATCCATAGATTTAAAACATATTAAGTCTTTATAAAAATGCATTTTCATTTTTTTTTTGTTATTTTATATTTTCCCAAATCTTTTCGTAAAGTTTCACATAAGAAATTGTGATTTTGAACATAAGAAATGTGTATCAACATAGATTTAAAAACTTTCAAGGATTCAAGCAAAAAAAAATCATAAGATATTATGAAAATTTGAAAAAGCTTGCCTATTTTAATAATATTGATGATTCATACTTGTTTTTTGCATTTTTTTTGCATATCTAGCACTCTAGGAATAAGGTTTGGAGTTTTAAAGTTGTTTGGGGGGGGGGGGTGAAAGAATGCTTATCTTTTTTGATACGCTACAAATACGGCTCAATATGATCTGATACAAGTCCGATATCATGGAAAAAATGATATTTCCAATTTCCCCGTATCTTGTATCAAATTTTAAAAGATACAATACCATACACATCATATTGGGGGTATCATATCAAAATTTGAAACCTTGCTTTTGAGTTGCTCTAAATAAGCTTATGTAAATTCTAAACTTTAAAGACCGATCGACAACCAATTTTGGGGGATCTCCAGATTTTTTTTTTCTCCAAACATAAATTAAAAGTTGTCTGTGTAGAGCCAACCTTGGAAACCTAGAAGCCATGACACTTCAGCCCTCTCAAATGCGGACCACCTTGCCAAGATTGTTTGACTTATTTGACTTCTTAAGCAACTAAACCAGTTGTCAACAAATATAGCTTATGGGTCCATTTGGTTCGTAGGAACAAAGGTTTGGAATCAAAACTGGAATGGTCCAATTGTTCCTTTGGGTAGAATGAAATCTGATTCCCATTCCTGATGGAATGAAAATGGTAGTCTCCCATTTGAAGAAATGGCCATTCCCTCCACTCTCCTGGGAATGAGAATGAATTTCAACCAATTTTGATTCTGTTTTTGATTCCTATTTGAACCAAACAAGTGGGAATAGACCATTTCAATTCCAATTCTAAAGCTGCATTTAGTTGTGATGCAAATGCAAGTATGTACTATGCATAAATACCATGGTTTTCAACTGGACCGGACCAGACGGTTGGACCTGACCAGTTCCATTTTCCCCCAGAATCGCTTTTTTCCCCAAAACTGTTGAATTTGGTCAACAAACTGTTGAACCAGCTGGTTAACCATTCAAATTGTTCGAATGATTTTGACCATTTTTCAAAATTTTAAATTTTTTTAATTTTTTTGTTAGAACGGGCCGACTGTTCGGGTCGAACGGTCAGACCGTTTGAACCGGTAACCAGACCCTGACCGGTTTAATTTTAAAAATCATGATAAATACCCTCTTTTCGGTTCAAGAATGCAAAGTGGGTTCACAAATGTAACCCATTTTTTGGGTTTGTTGGGGTAATGCCGCCAAAAGCGATATCTTACCCATTATATGACGTTACTATGTATTCATCCCATTTGATGGACCATTTCTAAAATTTATTGAAATATTGGAAGGTTGATCTCTTTTGTAGAAGGTGCCAATACAAAGTGGGCTGTAAGGCTGATCTGGATAGGGGGTTCTACACATGACTGATCTAAGCCGTCCCTTTTCTAATCGACAGTTAGGATCAGCAACATGTCATGTAGTGATGGAGACCTGTTAGAAACAGGATGTGTAACGCGGGCCACATACCCAATTCAAATGCTCCACTATTGGTGAATAATATGGACTGATGTATAATCCTAGCCCACAATCACTGACCCGTTACTGGTTTGGTGGGTAACTCCTTGGGCCTGGAGGGTAATTGAAGGCCCAATAGAGTGGTATACATGAGTTAAACCAGCCCGATAGCCTTCACTCTTCTTTGTGCGACTCATTTACCTACAAGGCTACAACTACAAGTTCACTAGATTTGGGCTTGATTTTGACACTTTGTTCTATGAAAGGACTGATCCTGTCCCATCTGAAAGGGATGCCATGGATAGAGCTTGTTTTATCTATCTGACCCTGAATAACAACTGAAGTTAGCTGAACTTAAAGGCTTATTGCCTTGTCTTTTTAGTGAATAAATTGTTAAGCAGGCTGTTAGCTCCTGAATGGATGAAATTGAAGTTGAGTTGATTATTAAACCCTTGAATATTTAGGGAACGTTGTATAATGTGACTTTTTTGTTGGTTTGAAAATAAATTGCTTTTCAAAACAAAAACATAAAAAACGTGTTGGTTGTATATGCATTTTTTGTTTTCATAACTGAAACCAAAAACATGTTCTTGAATTTATGATTCTAGAAACACGTTTTCATATGGTTATTGAATATCATTTTCCATAAATTATATGATTTTTATACAACAAATTTTGTTTTTATTTACAAAAACGTTATTTTGATGGTTCCAAAAACATGTATTGTTTTTTTGAAATGGGAAAATCTATGATGCAGAAAAGATATGGTATGGGAAGAGTTAAAACCAACTTGTTTTTCCTTTGAAAAYAATATAACAGAGCTCGATAAAATATTTTTGCTTTTTTGTTTTACTGATGTCGCAATTTCAAAAACAAATGAAAAAAAAAACATTCATGCTATAGAAGGCCCCCTTAATTATTTTATCCATCAAAACACAATGCAATTAATCAAGTTAGGGTTTTGTTAAAATTTGAATGTGCCTGACTCAAAGCCCAAGTCCAAAAAAGTATAAAATGTTAATTCAGGCCAGCCTGAGTTACATTCCTAAACACAATAAGTCATTCAATTCAGCCACTTCAGCTGCTATCAATCCACCCCTTGCACTCAAAATGATATTTGTTAAATTTGCAAGGCATCTATCCCATGTTAGCCATTAGTCGAAAGATCTCAGGCAGGGATGCAACTTGGGCAGGACCAACTGACTCCGGGTCTATCTTGGCCCAACCTAAGTTTTTGTATGGGATAGGTCTTCTCTTGAACACCTGAGCCTGACCAAACCCGACCAACCTGTCCATGCCTGAGCCCTGCCCGCATTGTGCTAGTTTAACCCAAGCTTAACCCAATAAACGAAATCCATATACATCTATAATTCAATATAGGGTCATTTTTAAAATACGCCTTATAATTTCATGGATTTACTAAAACTTATCCTATAGTTTACATTTTACTAAACCACCCCTATAGTTTGCAACCAATTTACTTAGTTGACCTTTTGCTAATAATCCTTTACATTTTTGTCTAAAAATGGTAAAGTGACCATATAAACAGAGTGGAAAAATGTTTACGGGCACGAAACCAAGCTTTCTAAAACTTCATATCAGGCTTCTAGAAAGAAACATGGTTTGATTTTCAGATCTATCAAAAATTGTTTGGTTTCAGCAAATGAAAAAGAAAGAACAATGGGATCCAAGGTTGTTTATCAACAATGGCATGTCTTCCTTCTTCAAACAAAAACAAATTTTACCAAATAGAGTTGTTACCCACATTTTTTTACTACAGTCAAGAATGACATTTCAATGTTTGCTTTTTGAAGATTAAATTTGTTTGAAGGGATGTTAATGTCAATGCTTTCATTTTTCACTTCCATCTAATGGAAGGTCAATTAAGTAAGTTAGTTGCAAACTATAGGGGATGTTTTAGTAAAACGCAAACAATAGGTAGGTTTTAGTAAATCCATAAAACTATGAGAGGTGTTTTAGTAAATGACTCTTTAATATATCTCATACATGACATGAAAAATGACTCAAGAGTCAAGAGATGTGGAGCAGAAGTGAAAACTTGTACTATTCTTTTACTGCTCAATATGAAGTATGAGTTAACTAGATGAAGAAGGGCAATCATCGTCCCTCTAGATGGATTCAGTTCTTAGCACTACAAGAAAACCGGTCTAAGCCGGCGGTCTTCTGTCCACCCCCTAAACCTCTGCCGGCTTAGGTCAAGACCGCCGGCTTAAAGGCAAAAGACCACCGCCTTAGGTGACCAGTTCAAATTGCTCTAAAGCGGTGGTCACACCGAGCTGCCGACTTTGCATTAATCAGGCGGCGGTTTAGACCACCACCTTACATTTCTGTCAAACTCCCTCATATTCTTAGGTGGCGGTCCGAACCGCCAGCTTATATGCTAAATGACCACCGCCTTGTGTGTTGTTTGTGGCTAAATTGATGGTTTCATGACCGCCAGCTTAGATATTTTTTTTTTCATTTTTTATTTATATTAGATTAATTCTAACATTTTTTTTTGGTCATATTGATAGCTAAGCCAGTGGACATGACCGCCAGCATATACCTATTTTTTTCAAAAAGAAAATGCATATACCTGCTTAATTAATTCAAAGATTATATATTAAAATATCCAAAAGACATTGTTCAAATACAATATCCAATTGACATATAAATAGTACAAGAACTTAAAAAATAATCGAATTCTCTAATAATGCAGCACATCTTCCAATGTCTCTGCACCTAGAAGAATTGCATCACTTCCTGCACCCATTCAAAAGTGAAATAAGTAYGAATCTACAGTACCAAATAGCGCCTAGACATGTAACTTGAAAAAAATAAAAAAAGATGCATGATGGACCATGGAAAAATACGAGGATCTCCCACTTGGGATATGACTTACCATCCAATACGGCATTTGCAACATCAGTAGCCTCAGCACGAGTTGGTCCCAGGTTATCAGTCATACTATCCACAACTCGGGTAACAACTGCAGGTTTTCCAGCCATGTTGCACTTGTAGACAACAGATTTTTGAAATAAGAAAACCTGATCACAATTCAGGAAGGATAAGTATCATATCCAGGTTAGTTCCAATGGTTAGCATAGCAAATCACTAATACCAGATGGTTAACCAACAACTAGTGTTCAATGGGTTGACAGATTTTCTAGCCAAACAAGGGGTACATAGGACTCAGCTATGTTGAACTCAATTGTAATATTTTTGGGATGTTTTGAGGCTGCACCTCATGCCTCCTTGTGTGGGGTACTCTCAATGTATCTTTTGATTACTCATTAATTAAATCTCTATTACTCTCAATGGTCAGACGTACAAGCACCGGTCTGGTACTCTTCACGTGGCTCGGTCAGCTCAAACCGCCGAGAAGATTTATTCTACTGCGGTAGTGGGAAGGGGGTGAAAGTCTATATCCATCTCTGGCTGTTGGTTCAAACAATCCTGATTTGAACATCCAGATGAGGGGGAAGAACCCTAGAGAGAGAGATTGAATAAAGACATTTGCAAAGTGAATCATTCTAAACAATAACTCCTGAAATATTTTATTTTAAAATAGCACAAAGTTCAGAAAGCTGACCTTCTCAGGTGGGAGATCAATGCCCAGATTGCCACGAGGATAATGCCATCAGCTTCATGTAGGATCTCACCAAAACGGGTTAAACCCTTTAAGAATCGAAGAAAGGTTTCATTACTCACATTGTCATACAAGCACTACCGTGAAAGATGGTCAACACTACATTAATTTAGAATGTACTAATAATAGTTTGGAAATTTACCTCAACATTTTCAATCTTTGCAAAAATCTGAGTCTGCTAAGGTCACCCAATTTAGAAAGGTACTCACGAGCCTGCATAACAGCATCACGCTCATTATGTTAATTAACAGTTAATTTTATATATTTAATCCCAGAAGAATCCTTGGAAATAGATTACATATGCACATGTATATACATAAATTGTTACAAGGAAAATAATCTAAGCATGAATATTCACAAAAAGAGATCCTTACATGACGAACATCCTCTGCATGACAGGTGATGGAGCGTGATCGGGTCACTCCTAGCTGGAAGTGGCTTTGCTCCTAGCTGGCGTCAGACGAGAGGCACTTGCGAGGAAGAAGATGAAGGATCCCGGGAGATTCACCCGGCGGGAACACTCTGACGATCAAGTTAGTAACTTAGACTGGGAGCTGTGTGTGTGAGAGAGAGAGAGAGAGAGATGCAGAGAAATCAAGGAGCTAAGAGTGATGATCACGCGATCCCCTTGCCCTTGGGGGTCGGGGTCCTTATATAGTGGTCTTCTGACATATCAGGTGTAACCGCCTCCAAATCTCTATTGTGGCGATCTTCTGTCAAATAACGGCTTGGCGTGGCTAGCCGTTATTTGTCAGAGTTGTGCTGGCGGGCAAAGGTAATCGCTGCAGAGTAGGGTTCTGCCAGACGCCGCCAGGCGAGAGACGTGGGTGCAGTCTGGCAATGAATCTCCCATGATACGTTGAGCTGCTCTATCGTAAGCTACTTTACACCGAGCTACCGGTGATGCGCCGAGGTGCTTCTCCGAGGCGGGTCTCTAAGAGCCTAAGTTTAGGCGGGAGCGAACTGATCCTAGTTAGGGGGGCTGATGAGTCTCACCCGAGGTGTCTTCAGCTCAGGGTGCTCCCTACTCGAAAGTGTTAGCTCGGGGTTCTCCCTACCTGGGAGTCTTAGCTCAGGGTGTCAGAGTATCATCTTGCAGCGAGCTGCCACTTCGGGTGAGCTGTCAACTGAGTTGTACCGAGCTCGTTATGCTGAGTTGTCACTTATGTCGGGTCATGTCCATGTGTCCCCCTATTATGAGGTCGGGCCAAATCACCCTCCATCAATTGCCCCCCACTCCCCGGGCCAGGGGTCCTGACCTGGTGTGGAGAGTTCATGACACGACGGGTGAATTTGGCTCGAAGTCTAGGTCGCCTAGTCAGATAGTTCGCTGGTCGACTCAATCAAGGATAACCCGAGTTGCATACAGTTCACGCGTGGACGTCACGCAATCTATAGATTCTGCAGACGCCAAAAAATGCGCTAAACTGATTTCACCTCGGGGGTCGTGCAACCGGTTTTCTTGAGAGTCATTGGATCACCCTGATCCTGACTGTTGATTCTCGGATATAGCAGCTATAAATAGTGGGGGACCCGAGTCATTTTCTCCGCCATAAGTTCACTAGCGTTCACTCTGAGGTCGCGCCTAAACTCCTCAGCTCAGGTTCTCCAACTTGTCAGCTTCCTAGTTCATTCATTTTCCCTTGGTAGTTATGTCAGACCATAGCTTTGATAGTCTTCTAGATGAGCCCAAGGTGGGTACCTCGACTCAAGTAGGTGTCTCTGAGGCACAATTGACCTACGAGGCACGGGAGGCCTCAGATAACCCAGCGTCCTCCTCACATCGAGTTCGGGTACTTGACAAGTTCGGTCCCTCAACTATGACCGTAGAGAGACTTAGGGCCCTGATACGTCAGTATAATCTTCCGAGGGAGTATTCTTATAATCTTCCCGCAGGTAACTTCCCTTGGGAACACGGTCACGATGAGATCATGATTTTCGGAGAACAGCTCGCGGTTGGGCTCCGTCTTCCTCTGCACCCCCTGATCATAGAGGTCTTAAAGTTTTTCAACGTCACCATAGACCAACTTCACCCGAACTCCATTCAGAATGTGGTCGGGACAATCTTCCTCTGCTTCGACTACGCCCTCCCCCTTAATCTCGACATTTTCTCCTCTATCTTGTCTATAAAGAAGAATGCCTCTAGCGTTCTCCCCGAGCATAGGCGGGCCTACTACTTGTCCCCTCGCCCGGGCTATAAGTTGTTGCACAAGCTTCCTAGTAAAATCCCGGCCTGGAAACGGGATTATTTCATAGTCCGCAATTCCGCGGGGTGGCTCTTTCCTACTCATTGGAGGGCAGCTGTTCAAGACTCCAGTATTAGGCTGGACCTGAAAACAAGAGAGATGCTCCAATCTTGGGCGGAGCTCAAGTTCAACTACAAGGACTATATCACCGAGGACAAGCTCATAGAAGCCAGCTTAAGCCCTGGTAGGTTGCTTTGGTCTAGAGTTAGTATCTTATCTTAATAGTTGCCATCTCTTTTTGATAGCGTCACTAACGTTGAGCTTTGTTGCAGGCCCCATGGAACGACTCAGTGCAGATAAACTCTTCGAGAAAATGAAGGGGAAGAAGAAGTGAGCTGTCAAAAGAGCTCGCGTCGAGTCTCCTCGGGCTCCTACTCCCGAACTTGAACAACCCTCTGTTGCTCCGGTGATTGACTTAGAGGAACCGGAGAAGGCCCTACCTCAGGAGCTCGAGACAACTGCGGAGCCCACTCTTGAGATTGCCGTTACTACTTCGGGGAGCGGGGGATCAGCTTGGAGTATTCTGAACCCGCAATACAGCCTCCGTAAGAGCAAAGGGGCTGCGTGCGCCGAGGAAGTCTCTAGCTGGGCCGAACTATCGCCTGCTCAGCTCGGAGCTCGAGCAGCTACCCACTGCATAGTGGTAAGTCTTGTTTAAACTTCAATTTCTGCATTTGTAGCCTTACTGGTGCTAATTGGCACTTTTGGCAGGTGAACAACGTCGTGCACGCCCTGACTCTCCAATCCGAGGTGCACCTGAAGCGGGCTCTGGCCACCGAGAGTTCGTCCCGTGAGGCCCATACCGAGCTGAAATTAGCTCGCGGCCAGATTCACCGGCTAGAGAGCGATGCGCTAGCTCAGAAAGAGTTAATCAAGTCGTTGATGTCGGAGAAGGAAGACCTGCTGCGCAAAGTGGAAAACCTTGAGACAGATAAAGGAGCTCTGAGGCGCCAGGTAGAGAACCTCGAGGTGGATGTCAAGGAGCGGACTGAAATCTTTCTTAAGTCCATGGAGGAGGCCAACGTCAAGGCCGCCCAAGATTATAAGAGCTCAGAGGAGTTCGAGGGAGAGTTGGTCGAGGCTGGGGCGGAGGGCTACCGCAAAGGCTTCAAGCTTAGTAGGTGGCTGATCAAGCGCGAATTCCCGCAGCTCGATGTGAGTGCCATCACTACCTCGTGAATCACAAAGGAGGTAGCCCTCGAAGCTGCTAAAGACCCGGACTCAGAAGCGGAGAGCGACGGTGATGACATTGCAGAGACCAATGCTGATGACAAGGCTGGCTCCTCCGCCGAGGCTTCGGGCAAGAGCAACGAGTGCCCCAAGTAGTTTTTGTATTGTGAGCCTGCGAGCTCAGCTTCTTTTTCTCCTTTCCCCCTTTTGTAATGAACTCTTTATAATGAAATACATTTTTTGTTAAGTGTTGTGCAATCGATCTTCTGGCCATGGTGATTTTTTCCGAACTGTTGAACTATCGAGCTAGATGGCCGAAGTAGGGGTTCCTTAGCTGTTACCCCGAACTGTCACTTAGTGCTTAGAGGCAACTTCACAAGGTGTACGCCGAAGTGAGCGGCATTGTAGGGTGTATGCCCGACATGTCTGCGCACTGGTTACCTCGCCTATGTCGAATTGCCTGGTATGCCCGAGTTATCATTGGTGCTCATACGCGAGCTGCCTATTCCTTAGGCATTTTTAGAGTACTTTGCCTATGTTGAACTGGCGACTAGGTCTTTGGTGTGTCGAGGTCTTTTGTTAGCTTGGCATTTTAGCCCTTAGGCTGGGGGAGCGACTCATAGTCCACTCTCTTCTGAAGTTCGCCCAGACTGAGGAGGCAACTGGATCTTGTATGGTGCCGAGGTTCTTTTATTATCTCGACACTTTGGCCCTTGGGTTCTAGGAGCGACCCGTGGTCCACTCACTTCTGGAGCTCACCCATGCCAAGGAGGCAACTGGGTCTTATATGGTGTCGAGGTTCTTCTATTAACTCGACACTTTGGCCCTTAGGCTCAAGGAGCGACTCGTGGTCTACTCACTTTTGGAGTTCGCCCATGCCGAAGAGGCGATTGGGTGCCGAGGTCTTTTGTTAGCTCGGCGTTTTAGCCCTTAGGCTGGGAGAGCGACTTGTAGTCCACTCTCTTGGAGTTCGCCCATGCCGAAGAGGCGAATGGGACTTATGTTGTCGAGGTCATTGCTAGTTCGGCACTTCTGGCCCTTAGGCCGTAGGAACGACTCGAAGTCCACTCAGCTTTGCCCATGCCGAAGAGGCAACTGGGGCTTATGGTGCCGAGGTCATTATCAGTTCGACACTTTTGGTCCTTAGGCCGTGGGAGTGAATCGAAGTCCACTCAGCTTAGTAATTACAGGTAATATTGCCTTAAGTTGACAATATTCTGTGTCCGAGGTATCTGCTTCCCTTCTAGGGTTTCGAGCTCATACGTTCCTTCCCCAAGTACTCGCTTTATTCGGTAGGGTCCTTCCCAATTTGGCCCGAGCTTACCAACACTGGGCTCAGGTACCATGACTTTACAAAGAACCAGGTCTCCGACGTGGAGGTTCCGCTTCTTGACCCTGGCATTATAGTACCGAGCTACTCTCTGCTGGTAGGCCGCAGTCCTAATGTATGCAAGGTCCCGTACCTCGTCAAGTAGGTTGAGGTTGGTGCGTAGTTCATCCTTGTTTGCTTCGTCGCCGTATGCTTCCAGGCGTAGTCTAGGGACCTCAATCTCGGCTAGGATCACTGCCTCCGTGCCGTAAGTGAGGTTGAAGGGGGTTTCGCTCGTTGCGGTTTTCACCGTGGTTCAATAAGCCCATAGTATGTTGGGCAGCTCGTCTACCCACAGTCCCTTAGCTCGGGCTAGACGTGCCTTCAGTCCGCGAAGAATGGCTCTGTTTGTGACCTCCGCTTGATCGTTTGCTTGAGGGTGCGCCACCGAGGTGAAATTTTGTTGTATCCCCATGTCTTTACACCAGTTCTGGAATTTGATGTCCTCAAACTGTTTGCCGTTGTCAAAGATGAGCACTCGGGGTAGTCCGAAACGACAAACTATATTCTTCCAGAAGAAGTTCTGCACACTTCGTGCCATGATTGTTGCGAGAGGTTCGGCCTCCACCCACTTGGTGAAATAATCAACTGCTACCAATAAGAATATCCTCTGTCCTGTTGCTGGTGGAAACGGTCCGAGTATATCAATCCCCCACTGTGCAAAGGGCCATGGGCTGGTGAGGTACTTTAGGTCGGCAACGGGCTAGTAGTGGATATTGGCGTGCTTCTGACACTTGTCACACCTTCTGACGAACTCAATCGCATCTGCCTTCTGAGTGAGGGCCCTGCCCCCCATGTGTCCGCAAAACAGACCCTCATGAGTGTTGCGGAGCATGAGCTCGGCTTCAGAAGGTCGTAAGCAGCGCAGATAAGGGAGCGTGTAAGATCTTCGGTACAGTCGTCCGTCCATCATGACGTATTTGGCTGCCTGGTGCTCTGCAGCATTACGATCTGCAGGGAGGGTCCCGTGTAGCAGGTAGCTC